TTTAGAAGGAAAGACTGTAACTTAATTAATTTTCACTAAGTGCCTTGAGGGCCATTGATGTTATTGAAATGTACAAATTAATACATTATTTATTGTTAATTTATCATAAGTATTTGTTAATTATAAGGCTCTAGCTGGGAGAAGAACTTGCCATGTATCTAGAAGTGAATACCTTCCCTAAAATTATTTCTCATTTTTTAATATGGGTGTATTGGAAGCAATTTCATCAATAATGGAAGATCCAATTACTGGTCTTCTGGATTAAGGCATTCTTTTATTGTGAGATTTTTAATGCTAAAGTGGGAAGTTCAAACATTGCCAATTAAATCTCAGACTAATTAAGTGATTATAGCCTAAGGAGAAGGGCAACTAAGACTCCACTATTAATCTATCTTATCACAATAGCCTCTATATATATATGTGATGAACAGATGAACATATATATACCTATGTCAATAGAAGAAATGTAAGGCATTGTTTGAAAAAACAATTTAAGGAGTTTAATTGTTTGAAAAAAATTTAAGGAGTTGTTTCCCTTTTCGAATAATAAAGACAGCATTTTTTATGAAGTCCTTTTCAGCTGTTTGTAGACTGCATGGTCGTATTTAATAATTCAATGATGGATTGCACCAAAAGATTTCACTCATTGAAATGTTTAGAAATGGTACAAAAGTGACTGTGACAGTAATGATCACCAGTGCTTTATGAGCACTCACGACATGCCAGGCACCCTTCTATGCTTTGCTTATCCTCAATTTTATAGATAAGGGAACTGAGGCACAAAGAAGTTATTAACTCAAGAAGTAATTAGCAGAGCGGGGAATGTTTGGATATTCTACAGCCTCCTTTTAATCCTTCAGTATTAACCACTACCCTCTAGATAGTTTTATTCTCTATTATTCAAATCATCTGCCTGTGGAGAAGCAACAGCAGTGCTCAGCTGTAAGGCAAGGGCAGCAATCCAAGACTGAGTCAGAGAAACCAAGGTCCACATCCAAACTGTCCTCCACGAAGGAGCTTCTGTTTCATAACATGTTGAAATGAGGCTTTCTATAATACCTGGAAGGCTGGGGCAGCAGTTTCTCAGCATCTTAATAATCAGTTTCATAGTGGCACCTCTCCAACTAGGTGGTAGCTCTCTCATGGGTCTTTTGCCACCCTTTTTATGCCTACAGGAGACATGGTGGGCATTTTGCCTGACACAGCTTCTTTAACTCTTTAGTCTTGGGGCGTGTGTGTGTGTGTGTGCGTGCGTGTGTGTTCACTTTTCATAATGCTGTATTTTTGGGAATGGAGTGTAGTAGGGGAAGTATCTGAGGATTGATTTGTCCAGAAGACATGACCCTGAAATTTCCCTCTACTCTGTATAGGACCATGTCAAGCCAATCCTTCATTTGGAAACACGTGGAATCTTTAAAAGTGCTATAACATCTTTTTAAAAAAAAAAAAAATTGTGGCATTTTTATATGAGGCCATAATTTTGAGAGAAAATTTGGCACCTGACACTAAGAATGTTTTTATTATACCACCTTGAGAATAATTTTTACGTGACATCCTTCTTTTAGCACACTTGATAATTGTGTGTCATCTGTTTCACAAATCTTGTGTATGTTGAGCTCATGTTTGTGAGGGGAGGATCTGTTCTTCTCAATCTTAAAGAACATGGACGTAGAAGCCACAACCAGTATCGCATCAGCTACAGATGAAAATATGAAGAGTCATCATATTTTGGGATAACTTCAATGGGATCGAGTGGCTGAGGTTTTGATTTCAATAAATTACTCACTCAAAAGAGACCTCTTCTTGAGACTCCTGCTTTTAGTGGAAGCCTAGAAAAAAAAATGTGATTTGTGTAAATGGTGAGGCTAGACATAGACAGTGAATCTTCTCATTTTAAAAGCTGTAAAATTTTCTACGCACCATCAACCTAAACTGAAATTGGTGAGAGTAGGAGTAGGGAAGAGGGATTGAATGTGGCAATTTATTGTATTCCACACAGTCTTTACAGGGAGGGTATTTTATTCCAAGTGTTTTGTTGGAATTTAACACTGATGCCCCTTCCATGGCAGATAACCTTGACCTTCTGTAGGAGACCTCAAACATATGAAAGACGTGGGGATCCCTGGAGAAGGCCCTTGTCAGAGGCCCCAGTTCACTGTATCTATAAATCCTTATAAGGACTTCCCTGATTTTGGTTCTCTTCTCTAACATTAGTCCCTATTCTACAGCTACATTCTGTGCATTCTCCAGGAATAAACAGAATTATTTTTCCAATCCTGAAAACTCCAGAGTCTACATTTACAACCTAAGGACTCAACCAACCTTTCTGCTTTTAATATTACCATGTATTACATCCAATAGAGCTAGGTTGTAATATTGCCCAACATCAGTTAGTACTTCTACTTTGTGACTTCTATTTATACAGAGTGAATTAATTGCCAACTCTATTAATCTTGCAAAATCCATGAATCCTTAATGTTCAGTTTGCTTAGAATGAGAAACAGTGTATTTGTTTCTTCTTAGCTATGACTTCTTGCTGAGCTTCACATGAGCTCCTTTTAGATAACGTGCCTTCTATCTTGGACGATTTATTCACTTTCATGTTCCCCAGAATTTATTGCTAAAGGTTGACGTGAATGCTTACAGTTTGGGCTCTAATGTAATCTCCTGAATGGCAATTAATAAATAAAAGATGGTTGCTATTGCTGGCAGAGAATCAGGGCTTTCTCGGATAGTTTTCATCTTCATGTTTTCACCAAACTTCATGTCAGACATCCCTAGGGGTTGATATTATAAAATATTTTCTGTAAACTCCAAAGCTTTTACTATTGCTTCAATACCCCCAAACCTCTGTGATGCCTTTTGTTTTCTTGTCAGAAGTGATCTTATTCAATTTCTGTTTCTTCAACTTATCTTCCTTCCTGGGAATATAAAAAATATGCCTCTTTCTGGATTTAATAGTAACATATCCTCAGTATTTATGACTTGCAAATAACACCTGAAATTTGTCCTTGAAATTTCTTGTATTTTTTTTTTTTTGGCTTAGTCTTATCTCTGTTGCACTTATTGAATATACTCTGTTGAATTTACTGAATATTGAATTGCACTTACCCTACATTAATAGCCAGTAGGGTTTATAAAATGCAATGTTTATTGTCATCCTGTATATTGTTCAAAGTGCAAAGTTGTCTCCTGTTAAGTTAATGATGAAACTATAAAGCAATATCCAATTTTTGCAATTTGCCTACTTGACAAGGCTCCAGGGTTAATCTAGCCTAATATTCTTATTTTAGAAATGAGGAAAATGTAGGGCAGTTTAAGCTATTTGACCATAATCAAATAGAGGGTGCAGAGCAAATACATCTTTAGACAGTAAAGTACATGGTACACAGCAGAAAAGCTGGAACTAGGCTGCCTCAGCCCAGCTCCTGGTCTGGATGCTTATTAAGTGTGTAACTTCAGACAAGTTATGTCAATGCTGTGTGCCTCAATTTCTCAATCTGTAAAATGGGGCTAACGGCAGTACCAGTAGCACAACTATAAGGATTATCATAAGTTACTGTGGGTGAGGCATTTAGAATAGTGCTTAACACAGAGTAAGCACTCCATGTTTTGTTAGCTATTAGGATTATTGTCATTATGTTGACTATTTTTAACTCGTTCAGATCATAGGAAAAGGTACGTATTGCTATTTCACTTCACATGGGTATATATATATACATCAGAGCTTTGTTGTACTTCTTTTTGTATTCCTTAATCCTGTGTGAAGCTGCTAGTAGTGTTCATAGTGGCAATGATAGTAGAAGCAAAAATAATGATGATAGTAATAAAAGGTAGTGCCGTTTATTGAGCCTTGCTAGGTGCTAACATTGAAGTAGGTACTTTACATACATAATTCTTAATAAATACTCCATCTATTGATACATGACACAGTCGTTTATTTCCAGAAATGCAAGTCTAGCCTCTTCATGACAGTAGTTTCCTTCGTAACTGGAAAGGAACATGAGCTGTGTTCCTGGTGGAAAAGCTTTGACTGTAGAAACAAGAGCCCTGAAAGAATTCCTTCCATTTTAAAGATAATCTTTGTGCTGCTAATATTTATATAACCTAATCCTGTTATTGATAATTGGGAGACTAGCTGGGGGTGGGGATGGAGGTCAGGGAATGGAGTGGGAGGGGGCAGGTAGAGGCCAAGGCAAACCGCACAAATGAAAAACATTATATACCAGAAAAGAGATGATTCAGATTCAGTTGTGCTTTATATTTTCTGTTTTATAATTTTATATTGCATTAAACAGGAATACATTCAGAACAATAGCATCAACATGGAAAAGTTGTTTTCTTTCTTCCTTTGCATTATTGATTGATTGATTAAATAAACTGCAGTTACCATACATTAATAGCCAGTAGGGTAAGGTAAAGTGTTTAATTACAGAAATCACAGTCACTTCAATGTTCTTTTATTTCCATGCCCAGTATGTTCCTTACTAATCATATGAGCAGCCATGGCAATGATAAAAGCTGTCAAGTATGGGAGTGCTAGGACGATACTGGAAGAGAAGCTCTCGTCACGTTAGGTGCTTGGTATGTTTGTGTGTGTGTCTGTGAGTATGCATGTGTGTATGTGTGTATATTCACATATATGAAATCACTCTCATTCACACTCATATATAGTCTCTACAAATAGCTACAACCTTTCAAATTCATATGTGTGTGTATATACCTATAGACACACATGCATATACACTTCTACATAGAGAGAAATGTACATATAGTCATATTAAATCTTATCACAGCTTTAGAAAAGGAAACGGAGGCTCAGAGAAGTCAAACCACTTGTTCGAGGTCACAAAAGGTGGTAAAGCTGGAATATAACCCCAACTCCCACCCACTTAACACCCCTTTTTTGGGATGTCCAGAGAGAGATATTCTTAGAATAATAGGATTACACCACACTGCCCCATTAGAAGAGGGGTGACCTTTTGCCCTTTCTTTTCCAGAATCTCCAAGCAAAGATTTTGGTCCAACTCTGGGTTTGAAAAAGTCCAGTTCCTTGGAGAGTCTGCAGACTGCGGTGGCCGAGGTCCGGAAGAATGACCTTCCTTTTCACAGGCCCCGGCCGCACATGGTTCGAGGCCGAGGCTGCAATGAGAGCTTTAGAGCAGCCATTGACAAATCCTACGATGGACCCGAAGAAATAGAAGCTGGTAGGACAATATGCTTCCTTAAATGGCTTTCTCATCTCATTGTTATCTGCAAATCACGGGCAAGAATGTGTGCTTAACTACAGAAAAAAATGATTTAAGGATCACAATTATATTTTTGATATTAAAAGTAATTCATTTTCCTGATATGTTTTGCCCTTTGGCTTAATGAACATGGAATTGGAGAATGCAATATGCAATTTATTTTACAGTGCAAGGCTAAAGAAATGTTCTCCTTCACTTTTCTACAAGGACCAACTGTCATTTACCCTTAGGGTAGGAGCACTAAGTATGCATTTCTTGACATTCTCATTCGAGTCATTAGAGGCAGCATCAATCCAAAGACTCTGACTGCATTAATTGGGTAGAAGCAGTTGGGATATTTTGTACTCAAAACTCCCTCCTCACCCTGTTTGTTTCCCAGCATGCGAACTTTCTGAGCTGATCAAGGTTAACAAGCCAGCTTTCAGAGAGATTACTGCTTGAACACATATCAAGCCTTTCATACTACCAGCTAAGCAACCGGTCATCCCCACTCCCAGCATCAAATCTTGCTCGAAGTAACCAGATTTAGGCAGTCAGATCTTCAAAGGGCACAAGTAACCACATGGAAGGGTAGAACTCCAGAGTGCTGTTATTCATTCTTTAGCATTTTCCATGTTAGTGTTTCTCTATATACTAACTGCATGTGCCCCTGACCATGGGTATTGATTATTTTTTCTCTGTACAGACGGTCTGTCTGATAAGAGCTCTCACTCCGGCCAAGGAGCTCTGAATTGTGAATCTGCCCCTCAGGGGAACTCAGAGCTAGAGGACATGGAAAATAAAGCCAGGAAAGTCAAAAAAACGAAAGAGAAGGAGAAGAAAAAGGAAAAGGGCAAATTGAAAGTCAAGGAGAAAAAGCGCAAAGAGGAGAATGAAGATCCAGAAAGGAAAATAAAGAAGAAGGGCTTCAGCGCCATGCTGAGGTATGGTCCTGCTTTGAAGGCAAAGTTGGGTTTGTTTCTCATTTTGTCTCTCCTGGTGAAATCACTCCTTTGTCTGTACCCAGAAAATAGTGGATACTTTCCCTCATATTCAGCTAAATGCATACAGCTCTCAACTGTGACTGTACTTGTTCTCTTTCTGCAGAGGCAGAGGAGCTTTTTGGGGAACCTCACAGTGATGACAGGACACTGTCTTAAGTTTGTTGTCAAAGAAAGGTCAACACTGCCAGGCACGGAGGCTTATGCCTGTAATCTCAGTATTTTGTGGGGCTGGGAGGATTGTTTGAACCCAAGAGTTCAAGACCAGCCTGGGCAACGTAGGGAGACCCTATTTTTTTTGTTTGTTTGTTTGAGACAGTCTCACTTTGTTGCCCAGGCTGGAGTGCAGTGGCGCAATCTCAGCTCACTGCAACCTCCGCCTCCTGGGTTCAAGCGTTTCTCCTGCCTCAGCTTCCTGAGTAGCTGGGACTATAGGCACACACCACAACGCCCAGCTCATTTTTGTATTTTTAGTAGAGTGGAGTTTCGCCATGTTGGCCAGGGGTCTTGAACTCCTGACCTCAAGTGATCTGCCTTGGCCTCCCAAAGTGCTGGGGTTACAGGCAGGAGACCGTATTTCTAAGAAAAAAAAAAATTAGCCAGGCACAGTGGTGCATGCCTGTAGTCCCAAGTACTCAGGAGGCTGAGGCCAGAGCATGGCTTGAGCCCAGTAGTTCAAGGCTGAGCTATGATTACACCATAAAAGAAAGGCCAATGCTTAGTAGAGGCATGGACAATGCCTGCAGTCCTTTGTACCAACGTGTTATGAAAATAAATACTTCCTCTGGCAGCACAGGGAAAGTGAGAGGCGGGGAAGCCCTCCGTGTTACCTCTGGAATACCTCTTTTGAAGCAGGGGAGTCAGGGTAGATGAACCTCATCCCTCTGTGACTCTAGGTGTGCAGTGGCCGGGCACATCACTTGTCACCTCCAGAGGCACTGTGATACAGGGGAGATGTCACTGGGTCTGGGCTCAGATGCCCCAGTCTGGATCCATGACTCTCCACACATGAGCAATGGGGCTTCACACACATTACTTAGCTTCCCTGAGCCTTACTTTCCTTACTTTTAAAATGAGGCCAGCATACCTGCTCTACTGACCTAGCATAGTTGTGAGACAAGACTTCATGTGCTATACATTCATTCACTAGACAGGGCTCAACATGGTACAGTCAGAAGATGGCTTTGTTTCTTCTCTCCCCTTCAAGTATGCACTGTTGAGGCTGCCTTCTCCACACCCTGACATCTCAGCTTTCTGGCTGATAGCTTTCTGGTCACTTTTGGGTAAAAAAAAAAAAAAAAAATGCAACTTGTTTGTCGGGGGCTAAAATGTTCAATCCGACATCAATGAAAGCTTTCTTCCTTTCTGTCTCTTGGACCTGAATCACAAGGAGTATCCTATGGTATGGTAGGAGGAAGGATTCTACCTTCTCCCATTTCTCAGTCTTTGGAACCAGGAGACAAAGAAAGACATGGTTCAATAGGATAGAATTTTACTTAACTGGCATATCTGGTATAATCTGGCCATCAAGGAACCTTTGTGGCTACTTTTGTGGATTTTCTTAGAGTGCTCCTAACTATACCAGTCACTAATGTAGGTCATTTTCCCACTAACCTATTCCCCTAAGCCTCTGACCTCAGACATATACCCCTGAGTCTCCTTACCCCAATTGGTAGATTTCTTGGACAGTGCCGTTTTGAGACCGCTCCAGCCTAACTTACAGCCACAGCATCTACCTGGCTTTCTAGAGTTCCTGATCTCCCACCCTCCAAATGATGCAAGTACAGCTTGTTCCCACTGTTCCGCTCCTCCTCACCCTGTCATAGAGATGTTCCAACCAGCCTTGCATCTTCAAACTTCTCCAGGCATGTCCCACACCACTCTGGGCCTCTTCCTCCAGGAACATATATCAGACTCTCCCAAGAATGCTGTCATGCATGGGGAAGGGAGGAGGCAGTCAATTTTTGCAAGTCGCAAAATAAGTAGGAAGTGGGGTGACAATCTCCTGTTATACAATTACCTCCAGATTCCCTGAGGGGTTTTCTTATAGTCCCCTCACTTATTTTGTTGGGGGTTAGAGGCAGAAGTACCCCTTTCTATGACTGTCTTAACTCCTACAATTTCTTCTCAAATCAATTGATCACTATACTTCTATGGGCTGAAAGTGAATGATGGGAGATGATGGTTTAGGGGCCAGTTTGGCCACCTCTTATGAAACCCTTAGGAGATATCTCATTTAAGAATGCTGGGTGTATTTATTACCATTTGTTCTCATTTTGTGATCATCAACTGCAATTTCCACATAGGAAGGAAAGTTCTATCATTCCATATGTAAGTGACATTTAGGGAATACAAATAATCCTCACACCAGTGAGCCTTCCCATTACATTTCCAGTGCTCATGAAATGCCAAGCAGGGCTCCTCATGCTCAGAAATCTTGGGAATGATGTTGCCCTTGGATGTGTTATGACAAGACTTGCTAAGGTCCTGCTATCACCTGGGCTGAGGTTACCCCAGCAGGCCTGATGTCATCATAGGTATCTGACGATTAAAAAACAAAATTTCGGCCAGGCATAGTGGCCCACATCTGTAATCTCAGCACTTTGGGAGGCCAAGGTGGGCGAATCACCTGAGGTCAGGAGTTCGAGACCAGCCTGACCAACACGGAAAAACCCCGTCTCTACTAAAAATACAAAATTAGCCAGACGTGGTGGCGCATGCCTATAATCCCACTACTTGGGAGGCTAAGGCAGGAGAATCGCTTGAACCTGGGAGGCAGAGGTTGATGTGAGCTGAGATCACATCATTGTACTCCAGGCTGGGCAACACAAGCGAAACTCCATCTCAAAATAGAAAAAAAAATCAGCTAGGCATAGTGGCTCAGGCGTGTAATTCCAGCACTTTGAGAGGCTGAGGTGGGCAGATCACTTGAGCCCAGGAGTTACAAGCCTGAACTACATGGCAAAACCCCATTTCTACAAAAAAAGCAAAAATACACAAATTAGTTGGACATGTTAGCATGTGCCTATAGTGTCAGCTACTCAGGAGGCTGATGTGGTGGGAGGATTGACTTAGCCTGGGAGGTAGAGGATGCAGTGAGCCATGATCCCTTCACTGGACTCCAGCCTGGGTAACAGAGTAACACCCCATCTCAAAAAATTAAAATTAAAATAAAAAGAACAAAATTTCAGCAAATTGAGTTCCAACTATTGAATTGGCTTTTATTAGTGATTCATAAATTGGTCCACATCCCATCTATAGAATAGAAAGGCACTTAAGTGAGATGTGCAGAAGGTGTGAGCTTCATAGGCAGAACAAGACTGAAGAAGGCAAAAACAAGGAACAAAAAGAGGATTGCTCATTTCCAAATTGCATTCCTTATAGGGTTAAAGTAGAGGGACTTTATCATTCCAGTTCATGTCCCTGGTCCTCCTTTGATTGGTTGCTGAGAATCTCCCGTATTTTGGGAAACTGACCCATTTCTAAGTTCAATTTGATTATATGGCACATAGCATGAGTGACTCCATTCTGGTTTGGTCTGGTCTACTGTGGCCTAGTCCAGGAGCTCAAATAATGGCCTCCCATGCATTTATTGCATATGATCTATAGTCTAGTAAATGCCAGATTGGGACAGATGTCCCAATAGATATTTGTCCTGATGGCCTCTGTAGACTCTGTCCTTCTAGTTGCCATTTTGAATTTTAAACTTGCCCATATTCTAAATAATTATTAGGATTGCCAGAATTTATGAACTGTGAGTTAACCATCTTGATGATAATGACAACATGTAATTGCAATATATTTAGATAAGAATTTTGTCTTTGAAGGGATGGAGTTGAGAGGTGAAAATTACAGGCTCTGCCTACGTACTTTCTGAGTTCAATCCTGGCTTCTCTAATTTTCACTTCTGTAACACTGAGCAAGCTCCTTAACTGCTTTTGTCTCAGTTTCTTCGTCTGAAACATGAGAAGCATAATAGAATTATCATTTTTATGAGAATTATATTTTATTAGATGTAACATGCTTAGACCTGTGCCTGGCAAGCAATAAACATTCAATAAATGTTAATTATTGTAGCCAACATAATAATGACCCCTGAAGGTGTCTGCATCCCAGCCCCCAGTACCTGTGTAAATATTATGTTACATGACAAAGGAAAATTAAGGTTGCAGATGGAATTAAGGTTGTTGACCTGAACATAAGGTGATTATACTGCATTTTCCCCAATATGCCCAATGTAATCACAAGGGGCCTTCAAAGTAAAAGAAGAAAAGGTGACTGTGGAAGTGAGGTGCAGAGAAATGCAGTGCTGCCGGCTTTCAAGATGGAGGGAGGGGACCATGAGCCAACAAATGTGGGCAGCCTCTAGAGGCTGGAAAGGGCAAGGAAATGGATTCTCTCTGGGAAGCAGTAGAAAGGAATGCAGCCTAACAACTCCTTGAACCCCTTGGATTTAGCCCTGTTGTGTTCTTTGAACCACTGTTGTAATTTCTTATAGTATCAAATTAAAAACTAATAATAGTTATCATCATAATAATTATTTTTACTGCTTTTAAAATATCATAGTAATGTATAAGGAAAAGTTTTTTCTTTAAGGTGTTAACAAAAAATACTATTAAAAGATTTAACTAAAATAGTCTATAAATATAAAAACTGTTAGAGCTTCACATATCCCATTTTCTAGAATATTACTAAATTAAACCTTAACTTTATATTTTATTTCAGATTATTGATTTGGCAGGTTCATACTTCATTGTCCATAATACAGTGCTGGTTCTTCCCTTTTATTGTCCAATATATTCTGTATTTTCATATAGTAGAAATCACAGGCCCTGGATCCTTTAGTCATTTAGCACCTCGGGCTTTGTTTCTTTCCACGATTTTAGCAAAATTAAGATTTGAAAGGTGGTGTTTGATTTTATCTTCCGTGTAAAAATAGCAACTGTTTTCCATAGCCTTTTGCATCTGAGTTTGTGAGCATATTGGAGTTACTGCTACATGCACATTTTCAACAACAAAGAACACAAAGCTGTTACCATTAGCCAACAGATTTTGCTTTAATTCTCATCTGTTGCTCAGATGCTATTGACTTAGTTTCTTTCTCATTTAAAAAAGATTGATTGCTTTAAGGTTCTCTTGGAGTTAGATGTGTGTTTGAAATATGTATTATTTTTTCCATTATCTGCATTTATGAAGATAGGGTTTTGGGATGGGTCATGCAGTTATACCATGTAGAATGGCACCTGGCCAAGG